AGGCTTTCCCACTTTTACTATATATAAAGTACAAGAATGTTGGTGTACTTAATAGACAAATTTACCACTGAAAGGGAAGTTTTTCATTGAAATCTGTTGTATCCAAATGGCCTTAATTATATTACTTCTACTTTTTCTTTTCTTTTTTCCTTTTAAGAGTGTAGTAGTAGCTCTGTTCTTTCTGTTTAGATATATATTCTCACACTTTTGCAATTCATTAACTGATTGAATTTCCAATTCCAATAGCTTTCCTGTAATATATTTGGCTAGAGGAAACTTGCATTTGGCATAGAATAATTGACTTTGTTGTGGAATAGAGTTTGAGGTTCATTGTTGACAACAGGCAGTGCTAGCCAGATTGATGGTAAAACAAAATATTCCATTTCCCTCAGACTGAAAGCTTTCTCAGATTGGCTTGTCCAAGTGATGGTGTCTGGTAATTTGGAAGTCATGTTCCCAGCTGCTACTCGTGAATATGCACCATTTATTAGGGAGTTGTGGAATGATGCAGCCTTTCAGGCCACATATAACCGGAGGCATGAACTAGAAATGTTGCCCAGAGTTGCTACTTATTTTCTAGAACGGGTAAGCCCACTCTATGGGGTTTTAGTTTGATAGCAATATGTGTCATTAAGGTGAATCGTTGGTTTGCTCCAAGTTCCAATCTCCCCTTTTCCGTTCAACTTTTTTCTTTTTTTTTGGTTGTGCCTTTTGGTCTTTAATATCTGCTTGTCTAATTTGTTTACTGATGTTTTCCTGCTTAGCAATTCCATATATAGTGTATAAATTGTATAACATTCATAGTATTAGTTTGCAGCATACTTCAAGTTTGCTGTCACTGCCACTGAGAATTTTCTTTATTCTACCAACTTAAAATTTTTTTATAATTAGACTAAAGTGGGCAGCTGAAATTGCTAGTTTCTTAATTAAATCATTGAAGCTTGGAGAAGAAAGTGCAGGATCTGGCAACACTTTCACTTCTATGACTAATATCTCTTCACTTTATTACATTCAAATTTCTTAGCAACTCTAATGGTTTAAAATTATCTTCTTCTTAGGCTGTTGAGATCTCAAGGACAGATTATGAGCCCTCTGAAATGGATATCTTGTATGCTGAGGGAATTACATCATCGAATGGACTTTCTTCCATGGAATTCTCTTTCCCCACAAGAGAACGAGAAATCTCTATTGATGGTTATCAGCATGATCCATCAGCAAAGTTAGTTCTATTCTATTCTATGCTTAAATTGTTAACTTTTATTGGCTACAAATGCCTTAAATGTTTAGATGCTTCTGGTGAGTTTAGTTCCTAGTAATTCTCATCTTGGAATAAAGATAAACTTTTAGGTGATATTGATGACTGTTAAGCTGCAATACAAACCACTTTCAACCAAATTACGGTTCATTGCATCTAACACATCCTTAAAGGTCACATTTATGAATTTTGGTGAGACAAGCGGAGCCTTATACTTGGTCAACAATAGCACAAATTATGTTTCCCTGTTTGTACATTTCATAGCATTCCTTGGGGCTGAAGGGTGCATCATTGGAAGATTTCATATTCTTCTTCAATGAATTTAAGCAGTCCATTTTTCTGTTGTGTCAAATATAAATAATCTCTCATACAGGCAAAAGTAGGAATCCTCTATAGGGATTTGGGGCTTTTCTTAGTTAGAAAATAAAAATGAAAACAAAAGAATGTTCTTTATCTTTATCTTCATCTTCATCTTCATGGTGATGAAAGAAGCAAGAAAGGTTTCTTTCATATGCCTCAAGGAATTGAAATCAAATCTTACTAATATTAGAGTTTTTATTCACAATAATAAATAGATTTGACCATGTGTTAGTATATATTTATCTTGCTTAGCATTTCTTGCTCTGAATCTGCAGGTTCCAACTTATTAGACTGCATCCCAGTAGCCTTGGGGAGAACTGCAAGTGGGTGGAAATGTTTGAAGACGTTGATATAGTCCTGTTTTGTGTCTCCTTGACCGACTATGATGAGTTTTCATTAGACAGTAATGGAGTTCTCACAAACAAAATGTTGATGAGCAAGCAACTGTTTGAAAGAATAGTCACTCATCGAACCTTTGAGCAAAAGGACTTCCTTCTAATACTCAACAAAGCTGACCTGCTCGAAGAAAAGATTGAGCAGGTTCCTCTGACTCGATGTGAATGGTTCCATGACTTCAATCCAGTTATCAGCCATAATCAGTGTAACAGCAACAACAGCAATAATAGAAATAATCACAATTCACTAGCACAGCGTGCCTTCCACTACATCGCTGTGAAGTTCAAGAGATTGTTCACTTCTCTTACTGATCGTAAGTTGTATGTTTCAATGGTTACCGGCTTGGAGCAGGAATCTGTTGATGAAGCTCTAAGATACGCCAGGGACATTCTTAAGTGGGATGAAAATGAAAACAGCTTTGTTAACAACGAGTTGTCATCTACGGATATTGAGGCAAGTTCAACCACATGACCCCTTTTTTTACTTCAAAAGGAAAATAGAAAAAAACCCAGTACTTGAAAACAGGAGATGTATGAAATTATGAAACTCACATTCTTAGAGCTGAAACTAATTTTTTTCTGATACAGCAGATTCCTTTATTTATTTATTTACTTTTTTAGTTCTAAACCATAGAATTCAACTGTGAAGCGGTATATATTTTGTTTTTGAGAAAGAAGTATCTTCAAGCACTTTTTCTTTCATCTATATTTACTGGATTCACAAGATACATACAACTAGATATTAATCTATTCATAACATCTTTAATGGCAACTAATTGTCTGCAACATGATCAGAATTGGCATGGATTTGAAGAAAACTGTCGTTTGATATTTTATCTGGTATATATAGTTTCAAAATAGCAATCCAAGATGCTAATTTAGTTGGAGATCGAAAACAATCAAGTTCCACATCAATGAAAAATGAAAAGAAATTAAAGTACAAATTTGCTGAAGTTTCTAAAATTCTCACTTGGCCTCTTCCAAAGATGCTTCAATTCGAAGAAGCACAAATCCCACAGCAACTCCAATGAGAACAAGGTCATTCATGATTGCTGCAATCCTACATATATCACCAACTTCACTGCAGGTTGAAGAGAGGGCACCACCTCCCCTACCTTTCCCCTTTGATGGAGCTTGCAGTGAGCTCACAACCTTTGCAAAAGATTGCTCAGTGCATACTGGTTGCCCTAGTGAGACCAGATTGTTATGAGCTTTTAGCCCACTAAAAGAATTCAATCCTGTAATATAATTTACTTTAACTCTAGTTCTCCTCCCGGGATTGCCAACAATGGCAGCAGCAAATGAGGGTGGAGAGAATGTAGCTGAGGCTGTTGTCGTTCCTATATTGCTATACAAGAAATGGAAGCTTTAGAACTTATGAAACAAAAATTGAAGAGAACAAACTTGGGCTTGATTTGTATCAGAGACAGATGATGAATAAGGTGCAGTAAGGATGGATGGCTGGCTAGCAGCAGATTAGATGAGCTTATGATCAAGGGAGAAAAGCTTTAAAATGCTGGCCAGGAGAAACTTGAGATGCAGGGTATGCCAATAAAGACTGGCCACCAATTTAAAGGCCAAGACACTACAAAAGACCCTTAACTTTTGCCTACCCACAATCCCCAAAACAATTGCTCTTGTAAGTTTCTTCTTTTTAGCTTGTATATCCATCAGATCAATTTTATTCCATAATTCAGACTTTATCCAAACAAGAGTTCTGTCAACGTATAGCTTCGGATAGTGTAATTTTTCAACTTATCCATTTCCAATCCAATTTGAGTACGTTTACTTGGGTACGGACATAAAATGTGGGTTTTGTGATGGTATATCAACCCAACCCAAAGTTTTTCAAAATGAACTACAAAAGCCTGCAAGTAAAAAGTTACGAAGCTCTATATATCAGTCTTTTACCAAGTGAGCTTTCAGCTTATAGACCAAACTCTGAAGTGTGGGCCTACCGTGATAATTAAACAGTTAAACTAAAAGCATCTTCATGTCTGATTATGTTTGCTTTTGGTTTTGCTTCTTCATATTATGCTTCTGGGACTTGGCATGTTTCCTGTGACGGACAATGTGAACTTGTATGAACTTCTTTTCTTGTCCCTTTTCGAGCAGAAATTCACATATACAAGCGTCACGCTCATGATTCACTTTGTTTCGATTGAAGAAACTTCTCCATCCCGTTATGCATGACCATCCTTCCATTTAACAACCTTCCTAATACTTTCCCGCGTGTATGCGTCAACAAATGTCATTTCCTCGTCCCCTAGAGTCAGATCATAATCTCTCATTACATCAACTGGAACATACTGAGACCCACAGAAAGAATATAGCCAGAAGTTAGTAGCATTCTTGGCATTGGACACATGTCGGGAAAAATAATATTTGAAATAATGGAGAAGAATCTAAGAACCTAGTATTAGTCAACAAGGATACAATTGTAAAAGGAAACTAATGAATGGTCATGTAAATGGTTTCTACTTTCCTAGTAGCAACATTATCAATCCAAATGCTAATAGCTTTAAGTAATCGTACAACAAATGCAAGGAAAATGTAGTCGGGGGAGCATGGAAGGTCCACAACTGTACTTCCTACAAGGACTTGCTTAACTTAAAATGCGGTCAAAGGGTTTTGAGGTCAAGTTAATTTCTAGCAATTCTTCTATTTGGAATTAAAACATGAAAAAGAAAGTAAAAAATGATTTAGTCATTTAAATGTGTCTCAAGGAAATTTTCCTTCTGACTTATGTATGAGAATAAATTACTAAAAGGAAGATAAAATAGTAAATATTGTTTATCTAACTATACCCAACAGTAAAAAAATTTCACCACTTATCAGCCAGAAGCTTTACATATATTCAGGACAGCCACAATTATTTTTCTGCACTTCTGGTTTTATTGATTTATCAAGCAGTGTACTGTCATATTCATATAAAATCCTCCGACCAATTTTTATTCTCAGTTTAGTAACCCAAAAAAAAGGTTGTTATGTCAAACATGGTGGACTAACTGAAGTTTGATTCGAGAATGGAAAACAAAAGAACAAAAATAACCACTGTAGTCTAAAGGGAAAAAAAAGGCTATAATCAAGAAACTAGCTACAAAATCAGATCACAAATTCCTTGAGCAGCCAAGAGAGTAGAAGCAAATTCAGCTTTTTATTATATGATAAGAAGAACAAGAATAAAAGTAACATACCAATTCGTTCTTCCTCCTGAGCCTTATCCTCGCCACAAATAAAGATTCAAATGTTGCACATATTTTTCTGGATAAAGCTCCTCCTCTTCAACCTCCATAGAGGTAGTTCCTTCATCGTTCATAGCAGCAAATTCCTCATGCAACCCAAGTAAACAAAAGGGTAATGTTTTAGCATATAAAAAACATGCATCATTATTTGAGTGAATGAATGGTTTGCACAATTTCACATACATGCACAGATGCACTCGCATACAAAAAATAAGTCACCTTCGTTTCTTTTATTGTTCATTTTTTGGCCTCTTCTTTTGTTTAAACTATCCAATACTTCTTCATTTTCCTCCTCTTCCACCAACTCCTGCTCTTTATCTTCTCCTTCTTCGTGATAGTCCTCATCATCATTTTCTTCTTCCTCCAACTCCAGCTCACTATCTTTTCTTTCTTCCTGAAAGTCATCATAATCATTTTCTTCTTCTGCTTCTTCCTCCAACTCCATCTCACTATCTTCTCCTTCTTCCTGAAATTCTTCATCATCATCATCATCATCATAATCATCATCTTCCTGCTCATCCAACACTAGATGTGAAACACTCTTCTCACATCGATCTAATCGGAATACTTTCACATCAAACACAAAACATCCAAAACAACTGAAAAATAAAATATCTTTATCCTTTACGGAGTTTTCATCAATGAATTTTCTCCAACCCTTCTTAAAAAACATCTGGCCATTGCATTCATTCACCTCCACCTTCACATGCCAGTATTGCCCTTTACAATTTCTAAAGGTGACTGTCACAGGCATCAGTTCGTATGAACACACAACAGCAGTAGATGGGATGAGCTACAGTTACAAAATGAAGCTAGATATCAGGCATATATCAATTAAAGTAAAAACTGCATAACATTTCCTTCTCTTTCTTTTTTTTACTTATCACTACTATGTGCTATAAGACATACCCACAAAAATAAGTTCGGGAAAAGCAACCACTATTGCCTTCTGACATGGCTTGCAAAATAGAATCCAATAGACAATTGTAACACATATACACTGTATTTCATCACATTGCTGAAACCCTACGTTTATCACAAATTCAACATTACCGGCACATTGTTAGTTAGTCACCACTACTACTATGTAACATACGAGTACCATATCATAGCAATTCCAAACCCATCAAAGCACATTCTCTATAAACGAAAAGAACTGAAAACTTTACCACAATCCTACCAGCTAAAATTGCAGTCAGCTTTACCAAAAGCTTAAATACCAGTTATGTATTGGAGTGGGTCAAATTATTTAGGCTTGTTAGAAGTTTTCTTAGTGGGTCAAACAATTTTAAAAATTAAAGATAACCACTTGGTAGATTTAATTTTTAAATTTTTATTTATTTATTTATTTATTTTGAAATATTATTAATTCTAAATAAACATGTTTAAACAAAAAAAATATGATGGTCTTAATAAACATATCTGAAAAGAAAAACATAATTGTTTAAATAAAATTTATTTAAACAAGAAAATATAACTATACAGAATGTAATTGCTTTTTGAATTAATTTAATTGATGACTGTTTATTTATTATAAATAGATCTTTTTACCCAATCAATTTTACTACTTTTGATTTAGATAATTTTTTAAGATTTTGTTGTATCCTATAAATATAATTACTTTTAAGATAATGTTATTCACATCTCAAAGTCATATATTTTTTTATTTCTATTTTTTTTTAATTTTCTAACAAGAGCAAATTCCCTCGATAAATTAGTAGCTAGCTTGTTATGTTTTTCACCTAAGTATTTCTTGTGTTAAAAGTGATGTTATATTATATATGTCAAGTATTAGTTTTTTAATGATCTTATGTTCAAATTGGCTTTTTTAACTTATTGTCAATTAATTTTAAATTCTATTATTCTTGAATGTTACTTTTTATATTGTAGTTTTTTTTCATGTTAAAAAATTTTTGTTGTTTATACTTTTAAATAGTGTTATTTTACATCTATTAAGTATAATTTTTTGGCTAAGTTGTAATTATATGTTAAAGTTGAATGTTTTAATATATATTACCAATAGTTCAATAAACTGAAAGCCTTAATGAGCTGAGATACTTTTCATCTTCTTCTTTTAAAGTCTTGCCACAATTTCATGAAAAACTTTTTGTGTATCTCCTTATTGTATTACAATAATCAATAAATTTTGTTTATTTAAGTTTGAAAAAAAAGACTAAATAAATGAAAAACCCACCTTGATTTATATAATATATCTTTCATTCTTTCTAAATGGGATAACACCAACATTTAACCTCTATATTATTGTAATTTTTCTCTTGTGGTATTTAAATTAAAAAATTTTGATCAGATACTTAAACTTTATTTTGTTTATCAAATTGTCTTTATCCCTTAATACTTTTAGATAAAGCTAATGTGATACTTACGTGTTGATGTAGATGATACATCATTGTTACATGTTGATGTAGATAATACGTGGTCGTTATGTAATAATGATATGACATCACATGTCATTTTAAAAAATAAAAAATAAAAAAAATTTTCAAAACTTTTATTTTAAATTTTTTTTTATTTTTTAAAAATGACATGTGACAGTCATATCTTAAATTATATGATAATCATGTATCATCTATATTAATATTTAAATATTATATCAACGTTATTTAATGATATTAAAAGATTGGGATAATTTCATACATGAAAATAAATTTTAAGTATATGAATAATTTTTTTTTAAATATCATATTACAAAAATACAATAATTTAGAGGTAAAATAAGGCATTATTTTTTTTTTTCTAAAACATGATATACATTACAGAATTAATTTATCAAAAAAGTGAAAACTATTTGCTACATCAAAACGCAAAGCTAAAGTTATGATTGCGAAATAGTAGCATGAATTATCATGAATCCTAAAAATTTGAGACTTGAAATCTATGACAATTAGATTTATAACGTCACATATTAAATGAGAAATTGTAAGTAGAGTTTATATAAACTTTTTATTAAAAATAATTAAATTAAAATTAAAATTAAAAATTAAAATATAAAGATTTTATTATATATATTAAGTATACAAAATTTTAATAAATTTTAAAATATTTTTTAGATAATCATTTTTAATAAAAATGTTGACAAATTTTTTATGTTAAATAAGTATCAATTAAATTTAAATAATAAATAACATTTTTATTAATATTTTTTATATATCATTGATTTTTACATTAAGTTTTATTAATTTTATATTTTAGATTTTTTATTTAAATTTTTATATAATAGTTTATGATAAAAAAACTTTATAAATTTCAATTAAAAAATTTTATGTAAATTTTGTAAAAAAATTAAACTTTAATTTGTAAATCGAGCCAAATACCCTTAATTTAGTCAAAGTTATATTTTGATGTTTAAATAATAATAATAATCTAATAAAATTTATAAAATGCATATGAAAATTTCTATATAATACAACTAGAAACGGCTCAAGCATAGCTACACACGTTTGATTTTTAAGGCACTTTTTTCTGCGATTTTCTTATCTTATCCACTTATCATTTCATAAGCGCTGACGAAAAAAAATTCTGATATTTTTTACTTGTGCAAAAAGTAATGAAGAAAGTTGGCGGCTATGAATTGGCTGTTGATAACCGATGCTCACGACCAACGCACGTGCATAAATGCATAATAAGGCCATTGTCCTTGATCATATACCTTCAACACCAGAACGATTAGTGCTAAAAGCTCTCAAAATCATCTTCTCTCTCTCTCTCTCTCAAATCTAGTAGTTAAAATTGCCATAACATTTTAGCTCGCTTCCATGGCACGAATCTGTGATACGCCCTTAACAGTTCGGTGAATGATGGCTGGAGGATTACCAGCGGTGCAATTCTCTTTCCCTCTTCTGATGCAAGTCTGAGTGTTAAAGATAGAAGCACTGGAAAAGTGTGGGAATTCGAGTACAAGGTGTCGGGTAGAGTTACGCCGACGATTGAAGGAAAGAAATGGAAGCAATTTATTCAGAGCTATGAAAATAAAGATGTTGGTAGGATAGCCCTTTACACATATGATGAAGGGTCTGACGCTGATTACAAAATTGAAGTGATTTGAGGTTAAACAACATTGCTGTTGCTGGTAGTAGTCCGTACTTTCTGCTCCTTTAAGCATTTACAGGAATAGGGCAACTGGTGTTAGCCAGCCCAGTGGTGAAATATAAAGTAACTATAGCCAACATCTCTCTCTTAAGCATCATTTAGATAAATATTTTTAGGATAAAATTTTAATTTGCTTTTCTTTTTTATTACCTTATGATAAAGCAGCATTATCAAGTGGCACCAGTTTGTTTCTTTTTTTTTTTAACAAAAGAAAATGTTCTTGTATTTTTAAAGCTTGTTAATTTATTCATAACATTTCTAGTTAATTGCAATAATATAATGCTTCTATAATTATATTTACAATTCAATATTTGTAATAATTTTTTTCCCGAACATGCGTGGTCATCAAAGCCTGACATTTTTTTTTTTAATATTAATAAGCCTCACAAATTTGAATAAGTATGTATATATATATATATATATATATATATATTCTCTTGTGCAATTTGCAAATAATATTTTGGACTTCAAATTGAAAGTATCAAGTAATTTTAATGGTTAGGAACTATATATTGAATTAAAAATTTAAATTAAGTTGGTACTAATCATCTCATAATAATATAAAATTAACAGATATAATGTTGAATTTAAAACTTCTAAATCTTAAATTTTAAGCCTCTAAATTAAAGTTGGCCTTAATTCATAGCCCTTAGGATCGTTTGCACCACTTGAATTGTAGAAGACAGGCCAAATTTATACGTTTCGTTAATGATTTTTCCATTGAAAGATAAAAATATATTCCTCAATCAACACTCCCTCTCAAAATAGTGAGAAGTAATCATGGTAGCTCACGTGCCAGGGGTTAGGAATCTGCCCCGATCGTTTCCAGCAAGTTCCAAAGCCTTTGCTTCTGACCAAGGAATAAATTAAAGGCCCTATATATTAAAAACGCGTGGGGCTGATTTTGGAGTAAAAAAGGGCGTGTGACGTAGAAAAGAAAGAAAATAAGTCAGAAAAGACAGAGAAAAAAAAAATAGAGAATTGGTTGAATGAAAATAAGAACGGTATCGGATCGGATCGGGGTGTGCTGGATTTTGCATGATTTGATTTTATATTTATAATATTTAAATTTAGTTTAAATATATTTTTAATTTTTTATATTTGAATTTGATTTGAATTGATATTATATAAAATTATATATGATATAATTAGATTCAAAATTAATAAAATATAATTTTTTAAATATAAAATATTAATTTTTAATATAAATATAAAATTAATTAATTAATTAAAAAATAATTATATATATCGGATTAGGTCGAACGGTGAATTTGCTTAAAACTTGATGTCGATGTTGACTTTGTTTTTTAATTATCCCACTTTATTCGATCTTAAATTGGATTTAAAAAAAAATCAATCATAATAAGTCAAGTCGAATCGAAACTCGTTGGATACAAGTTAAATTATCATCTTTAAATAAAAATCAATTTATGGTCTGATTAAATTAAAATTTTATTAATAAGTTTATGATTCAATATTTTATATTTTGAACGATGAAAATTAGGTTTGAAATTCTTTAAAAATAAATACATAATATATTTGTTCAGTCATCTATTTAGTAAGATTTTTTGAATTATTTTTTTAGTTATTGATTAAATCTAGTTTTAGCTAAAAGAAAATTTTGTATATTAATTATTTGATATTGAAGAATTTTTTGGTTTTGCATGATCTTTTTCTCTATACTATTAGATTTTTCACATAAATTTTGATGCGTTTTATTTTTTTTACATTTTAAGTTCTTAATTATTATATGTTGTTGTGGATTTATTATTATATATTATTTTTATATTTTTGTATTTGTTACTTTAAATCCAACACAAGTCACGTGCACAAACTGATATAGACAAGGTATATTTGCATAGGAATATGTATACTGTATATGTCATGGGCCGAAACTTAAACTCTGACCCGCACATCTCTAGGACCCGGACATCCACTCATCCAGCTCTAGGACTCAGGCATCCACTCATCCGACGTCTCAAATCAGCCTGATTGCCACTGTTCACACTCTTGTGAGGTATTGTTCGCTCTGGTCCTCCTGGCCCCCTAACCTCACGATTTTGTCTTACAAAAGGCGTTTCTTAAGGCAAAGGTAGTGTGAACCCTTTTTATACCCCAGTAACCCTCCTTTTATATTCGATGTGAAATTCAAGACTTCTCTTTAGGTCCGTAGCATTCTTCCCTACCCAATCTCGTTACCCCCTCATCACGAAAGCTGACCACCTTGCCTACCCCTTGATGCGCTTGGTGTGAAACGAACGGTTTAAGACTGACTCTGATATTGATCCTCTGGTCTCATGGTTTTGTTTTACAAAAGGCACCTCTTAAGGCAAAGGTGGTATGAACCCTTTTTATATCCCAATGACTCTCGGTGTGGATCGAATGGTTTAGGGCTAGCTCTGATACTGATCTCCTGACTTCATGATTTTGTCTTACAAAAGGCATCTCTTAAGGCAAAGGTGGTGCGAACCCTTTTATATCCCAATGACCATCATCATGGAGGTTAGCCACCTTGCCTACCTCCATTGATGGACTTGGTTTGGATTGAACGGTTTAGGGCTGGCTCTGATACGGGCCCCCTGACCTCACGATTTTATCCTACAAAAGGCACCTCTTAAGGCAAATGTGATGTGAACCTTTTTTATACCCCAGTGATCTTTATTTTATATTCGATGTGGGATTCATGATTTTTCTTTAGATCCATGATATTCTCTCCTATCCAACCTCGTGACGCTCTCGTCACAAAGGTTGACCACCTTGCCTACCTCCCTTGATGTGTTTGGCGTAGATCGAACTGTTTAAGGTTGATTCTGATACCACTTGTCACTAGTCGAAACTTAAGCTCCAATTTGCGCGGCTCCAAGATCTTGACATGTACTCATTTTACATCTCAGATCAACTTACTTGTTACGGTTCATACCTTTGTGATGTATTTTACCATTTGACCTCAAAGTTTTATTTTACAAAAAATATCTCACAAAAAAGAAATAGCGTGAATCTTTTTATACTTCAGTTATCCTCCTTTTATGTCTGATGTAAGATTTAGAATTTTTCCTTAAATTCATAACACGTGCGCCTAATTTATTTCCCCTTATATCATGCACTAATAATAACATGGATGTACATTATTCTCATATGGGAGTTAAGCTTTTTTGCTCTCGTCTTTGCCGCTTCCTCTTGATGCTGTGAATCCTGCTGGAGAGGACGTCCACTGGAGAATTGTAAAGCAGCAAGTGCTTCATAAAATTCTTCTAGTTGGCTATCAAAAGTCTGGCACAAGTACAATATATAAGCAGGTAACATACCAATAGAGGCAACTCATTTCTATACGCCTTCCTGTCGTCCTTCAGCAGCTTAGGTGGAGATCTTGGATCTTGAGCTGACTTACCATTGGGCTTTGTCCACCAAAATTGCTGTCTCATTAGTTCAGCCACGAATAGATGTCTTTGACTACAATCTAGAATTTTTAAAGGATTGAGGAGGTTGAACAAAAGTGTTAGAATTATTACAGTAAAGTTTGAATTTTTTCCATATCTTAAGTCATTACCAATTCATAATATTCATTTGGTGATCAAGATTGTAAATGAATCCTCGTTAATGCTTCTAGGCACGCAGTTACCTTCAATTATAATTTAAAATATTATTGATATTTATGACTACAAAACGTTGGTTTTATAACACTAGAAATTCAGAATGGGCTGTCTAAATGAAACATTAAGTTTGTTACTTGCTTATTTCAGGCCAAGATTGTGTATAAAATTCCTTTCTCTGAATAAGAGAGCCAAAATATCAAATTGATGATCCAAAGCAATTTGTATGGCTATCTTGCTATATTGCTTCAGGGGCGAGAACGGTTTGAAGAAGAAATATTACTACAGAACAGAAAAGGGAAAATTGCTGAGGGATTTGTTTTTATTCAGTTAACAAATTTATTCTGTACCATTTTAAGTTTTTTTCACTAAATATTCGTGAGAATTTTTTTATTGATTAAAATTATAATTCTAACCCTATTTGAATTAAGTTATTCTTTATAGACACTTTTCAATAAATCTATTATTGCTTTGCTTGAATCTTAAATCAGTTTACTTCAATTTACAAGATTTTTCTAAAACTTCCTGATGGCTTTAAGCATTGTACTTTAGGCTTTCCACTTTTACTATATTAAAGCAACAATGTTAGTTAATTAATAAATAAAATTTACCATTAAAAGTGAAGATTTATTGCAATCTTGAAATCCAAAGAGCCTTAATTAATTTTTGACTTTTTTTCTTTTCCTTTTAAAAGTTGGTATAGCTTGTTCTTGCTTTATAGATATATCTCACACTTTCGCAATTCATTAACTGATTGAATTCCCCATTCCAATAGATTTCCTGTAATATATTTGGCTAGAGGAAACTTGCATTTTGCATAGAATAATGACTTTATCGTGGAATAGAGTTTGAGGTTCATTGTTGACAACGGGCAGTGCTAGCCAGATTGATGGTAAAACAAAACATTCCATTTCCCCAGAATGAAAGCTTTCTCAGATTGGCTTGTCCAAGTGATGGTGTCTGGTAATTTGGAAGTCATGTTCCCAGCTGCTACTCGTGAATATGCACCATTTATTAGGGAGTTGTGGAATGATGCAGCCTTTCAGGCCACATATAACCGGAGGCATGAACTAGAAATGCTGCCCAGAGTTGCTACTTATTTTCTAGAACAGGTAAGCCCAGTCTATGGGGTTTTAGTTTGATGGCAATATGTGTCGTTGAGGTGAATCGTTGGTTTGTTCCAAGTTCCAATCTTCTCTTTTCCTTTCAACTTTTTTTTTTGGGTGCTTTTTGGTAATTAAAATCTGCTTGTCTAATTTGTTTACTGATGTTTTCTGCTTAGCAATTCCGTATATAGTGTGTAAATTGTATAACATTCATAGTATTAGTTTGCAGCATACTTCAAGTTTGCTGTCACTGTCACTGAGCATTTTCTTTATTCTACCAACTTAAAACTCTTTTTATAATTAAACTAAAGTGGGCAGCTGAAATTGCTGGTTTCTTAATTAAATCATTGAAGCTTGAAGAAGAAAAGTGCAGGATCTGGCAGCACTTTCACTTCTATGACTAATATCTCTTCACTTTATTGCATTCAAATTTCTTAGCAACTCTAATGGTTCAAAAATTTCTTCTTCTCAGGCTGTTGAGATCTCAAGGACAGATTATGAGCCCTCTGAAATGGATATCTTGTATGCTGAGGGAATTACATCATCGAATGGACTTTCTTCCGTGGAATTCTCTTTCCCCACAAGAGAACGAGAAATATCTATTGATGGTTATCAGCATGATCCATCAGCAAAGTTAGTTCTATTCTATTCTATTCTATGCTTAAATTGTTAACTTTTATTGGCTACAAGTGCCTTAAATGTTTAGATGCTTCTGGTGAGTTTAGTTCCTAGTAATTCTCATCTTGGAATAAAGATAAACTTTTAGGTGATATTCATGACTGTTAAGCTGCAATACAAACCACTTTCAACCAAATTACAGTTCATTGCATCTAACACATCCTTAAAGGTCACATTTATGAATTTTGGTGAGACAAGCGGAGCCCTATACTTGGTCAAAAATAGCACAAATTTTGTTTCCCTGCTTGTACATTTCATAGCACTCCTTGGGGCTGAAGGGTGCATCATTGGAAGATTTCATATTCTTCTTCAATGAATTTAAGCAGTCCATTTTTCCGTTGTGTCAAATATAAATAATCTCTCATACAGGCAAAAGTAGGAATCTCCTATAAGGATTCAGGGCTTTTCTTTTAGTTAGAAAATAAAAATGAAAACAAAAGAATATTCTTTATCTTTATCTTCATCTTCATGGTTATGAAAGATGAAAGAAATGTTTCTTTCATATTCTTCAAGGAATTGAAATCAAATCTTACTAATATTAGAGTTTTTATTCACAATAACAAATAGATTTGACCATGTGTTAGTATCTTGCTTAGCATTTCTTGCTCTGAATCTGCAGGTTCCAACTTATTAGACTGCATCCCAGCAGCCTTGGGGAGAACTGCAAGTGGGTGGAAATGTTTGAAGACGTCGATATTGTCCTATTTTGTGTCTCCTTGACCGACTATGATGAGTTTTCATTAGACAGTAATGGAGTTCTCACAAACAAAATGTTGGTGAGCAAGCAGCTGTTTGAAAGAATAGTCACTCATCGAACCTTTGAGCAAAAGGACTTCCTTCTAATACTCAACAAAGCTGACCTGCTCGAAGAAAAGATTGAGCAGGTTCCTCTGACTCGATGTGAATGGTTCCATGACTTCAATCCAGTTATCAGCCATAATCACTATAACAGCAACAACAGCAGTAATAGAAATAATCACAATTCACTAGCACAGCGCGCCTTCCACTATATCGCTGTGAAGTTCAAGAGATTGTTCACTTCTCTTACTGATCGTAAGTTGTACGTTTCAATGGTTACCGGCTTAGAGCAGGAATCTGTTGATGAAGCTCTAAGATACGCCAGGGACATTCTTAAGTGGGATGAAAATGAAAATAGCTTTGTTAACAACGAGTTGTCATCTACGTATATTGTAACGCCCCGATCTCACGTCAAAAGAATACGTGGATAAATAATGATATATATATAGAGATTTAATCTTAAACTTGTGAAGTATTTTTTGTGAAACAAAACTGTAAGATTTTCAAGTCAAAACGAATAATACATGTGCCTTTTGTGGGATAAAATCCGAAAGTTTTACGATTTTATCTCACAAAAAACACCTCATAAGTTTGAGATCAAATCTCTACATATATATCATTCTTTATCTACACATCTTTATGATGTGAGATTGGGGCCTTACAGATATTGAGGCAAGTTCAACCACATGACCCCTTTTTTTTCTTCAAAATGAAAATAGAAAAAACCCCAGTACTTGAAAACAGGAGATGTATGAAAGTATGAAACTCAGATTCTTACAGCTGAAACAAGTTTTGTCTGATACAGCAGATTCCTTTATTTATTTATTTATTTTTTTAGAGCTAAATCATAAAATTCGACTGTGAAGCCGTATATATTTTGTTTTTGAGAAAGAAGTATCCTCGAGTACTTTTGCTTTCATCTATATTTACTAGATTCACATGATACATACAACTTGAAATTAATCTATTCGTAAAATCTTTAATGGCAACTACTTGTCTGCAAAATGATCAGAATTGGCATGGATTTGAAGAAAACTGTCGTTTGATAATTTATCTGATATATATAGTTTCAAAATAGCAATCCAAAATACTAATTTAGTTGGAAATCGAAAACAATCAAGTTCCACATTAATGAAAAATGAAAAGCAATTAAAATACAAGTTTGCTAAAGTTTCTAAAATTCTCACACGGCCTCTTCCAAAGATGCTTCAATTCGAAGAAGAACAAATCCCACAGCAACTCCAATGAGAACAAGGCCATTCATGATTGCTGCAATCCTAAATATCTCACCAACTGCATTGCAGGTTGAAGAGAGGGCACCACCTCCCCTACCTTTCCCCTTTGATGGAGCTTTCAGTGAGCTCACAACCTTTGCAAAAGATTGCTCGGTGCATACTGGTTGCCCTACCGAGACCACATTGTTATGAGCTTTTAGCCCACTAAAATAATTCAATCCTGTAATATAATTTACTTTAACGCTAGTTCTCCCAGGATTACCAACTGTGGCAGCAGCGAATGTGGGTGGAGAGAATATAGCTGAGGCTGTTTTTCATTGCTATATTGCTACACAGGAAATGGAAGCTTTAGAACTTATGAACCAAAAGTTGACGAGAATAAACTCGGGCTTAATTTGTATAAGAGACAGATGATGGACAAGGTGCGGTAAGGATGGATGGCTGGCAAGCAGATTAGATGAGCTTATGATCTTTAAATGCTGACCAGGAGAATCTTGAGATGCAGGGGATGCCAATGAAGACTGGCCTCTAATTTAAAGGCCAAAACAGTAAAAAAGACCCTAAACTTTTGCCTCCCCACTATCCCAAAACAATTGCTCTAGTAAGTTACTTCTTTTTAGCTCCTATATCTCCCACATCAATTTTATTCCATAATTCAGAATTTATCCAAACTAGAGTTCTATCAACGCATAATACTTAGGAAAGTGTAATTTTTTAATTTATCCATTTCCGATCCAATTTGAGTACGTTTACTTGGGCACGTGCATATAATATGGGTTTGATGAGGGATGGGATATCAACCCAACCCAAAGGTTTTCAAAATGCACTACAAAAGCCTGCAAGTAAAATGTTACGAAGCTCTATTTACAAGTCTTTTGGCAAGTGAGTTTTCAGCTTATAGACCAAACTCTGAAGTGCCAGCCTGCTTGATCACGACCGTGATAATTAAACAGTTAAACTAAAAGCATCTTCATGTCTGATTATGTTTCCTTCTGGTTTTGACTCTTCATGGTAGGCTTCTGGGACTTGGCATGTTTCCTGCGACGGACAATGTGAACTTGTATGAACTTCTTTTCTTGTCCCTTTTCAAGCAGAAATTCACATACACAAGCATCATGCTGATAATCCACTTTGTTTCAATTGCAGAAACTTCTCCCTCCCGTTATGCATGTTCGACCATGCTTCCATTTAACAACCTTCCCAATACTTTCGCGCTTGTATGGGTCAACGAACGTGATTTCCTCCTTATCCTCTAGCGTCAGATCATAATCTCTCATTACATCAACTGGAACATACTGAGACCCACACAAAGAATATAGCCAGAAGTTAGTAGAAAATATAGCCAGAAGTTAGTAGCATTCTTGGCATTGGACACATGTTGGAAAAAGAATATTTGAAACAATGGAGAAGAATCTAAGACCCTAGAATTAATCAACAAGGATACAATTGGAAAAGGAAACTAATGAAAGGTCATGTAAATCGTTTCTACTTTCCTACCAGCAACATTACGAACCCAAATGCTAATAGCTTTAAGTAATCATACAACAAATGCAAAGAAAATGTAGTCGGAGGAGTATGGAAGGCCCATAACTGTACTGCCTACAAGGACTTGCTTAACTTAAAATGCAGTCAAAGGTTTTAAAGGTCAAGTTAATTTCTAGCAATTCCTCTATTTGGACTCGGAAACATGACAAAGAATGTAAAAAACAATAAAGTCATTTAAATGTCTCAAGGAAATTTTCTTTCTGACTTATGTATGAGAATAAATTACTAAAAAGAAGATAAAACAGTAAATATTGTTTATCTAACTATACCCAACAGTAAAAAATTTCACCACTTATCAGCCAGAAGCTTTACATATATTCAGGACAGCTACAATTATTTTTCTGCACTTTTGGTCTTATTAATTCTTCAAGCAGTGTTCTATCATACAACAACAACAAGCCAAGCCTTACACATCATAACTTTAGGGTTGGCTAAGCAGTGTGCTATCATATTCAAAAAAAATCCTCCAACCAATGTTTATTCTCAGTTTAGTAACCAAAAAAAAGGGTTGTTCTTACCTTGTCATTGCTGGAAGAAATTATGTCTAACATGGTGGACTAACTGAAGTTTGATTCGAGAATAAACACCAATCCATAATAAAAACAAAAGAACAAAAATAACCACTGTAGTCTAATGGAAAAAAAAAACGGCTATAATCCAGTAACCAGCTACAAAATCAGAGCACAAACTCCCTGAGCAGCCGAGAGAGTTGGAGCAAATTCAGCTTTTTATTTTATGATAAGAAGAACAAGAATAAAAGAACATACCAATTCATTCTTCCTCCTTAGCCTTATCCTCGCCACAAAATAAGGATTCAAACGTTGGACGTATTTTTCTGGATAATGCTACTCATCTTCAACCTCCATTGAGGTAGTTCCTTCATCGTTCATAGCAGCATATTCCTCAAGCGAGCCTAGTAAACAAAAGGGTTATGTTTTAGCACATAACAAACATGCATCATTATATGAGTGAATGAATGGTTTGCACAATTTCACATACACGCACAGATGCACTCGCATACAAAAAATATAGTCACCTTCGTTTCTTTTATTGTTCATTTTCTGGCCTCTTCGTTTGTTTAAACTATCCAATACTTCTTCATTTTCCTCCTCTTCCACCAACTCGAGCTCACTATCTTCTGCTTCTTCCTGAAAGTCATCATAATCATTTTCTTCTTCTGCTTCTTCCTCCAACTCCATCTCACTATCTACTCCGTCCTGAAATTCTTCATCATCGTCATCATCATCAACTAGAACAATTCTCATTTCCTGCTCATCATAATAATCATCAGCTAGAACAACCCCCATTTCCTGCTCATCCAACACTAGAAGTGAAACACTCTTCTCACATCAATCTAATCCGAATAATTTCACATTAAACACAAAACATCCAAAATAACTGAAAACTAAAATATCTTTTTCTTTAATGGAATTTTCATCAATAAATTTTCTCCAACCCTTCTTGAAAAACATCTTGCCATCGCATTCATTACCTCCACCTCCACATGCCACCATTGCCCTTTACAATTTCTAAAGGTGAACTGATAATGTACCGGTAATGTTGAATGTGTAATAAGCGTAGGGGTAACATATCATAGCAATTCCAAACCCATCAAAGCAAATACCCTATAAACGAAAAGAACTGAAAAAAATATGCCCTTTACCAAAATCCTACAAGCTAAAATTGCAGTCAGCTTCCAACAACAAATTGATAATACGTATATATTTGACCCATGAACCAAAAGTGGTAAAACTTCAACCTTTTGAAGATGCACGAGTCAAATGCATAATGAAACAACCAAAACCCAGAAAATGTTCAAAGAAAGCAAGAAACTAAACAAGGTAAAGCTTGAAAAAAAAAAAAAAACCCAAATGAAATATTGGAAAGTCAACACTTTCCAATAGACACAAACTAAATCTTTGTGAGGGTTACCATTCTTTGGAAGCTGTGTTCCAAGAGGTAAACCTTGAAGAAGTTCTTACCTTGAAAATTCCACATTATTTTTCCACAGGAAGAGACAATACTAGGTATGCTCTCTTACGAGAACGCGGCTGTTTAAGGTACAAATTTGGTGTTGAATATACGGACTCGGCTATTTGAATGAGCCAATCCAAAAACAACAACAAAAAAAAAAAAAAGAAGGTAAAGATCCGAGATTATACCATGAGTTTCCTGGTCCAAGGGAGCTAGCGGGTTTCTGGTTGCATGGAACCCTAATCCTTTATATACGTAATAGAAGTACATTATGGGTCATGGGATTCTTCCATCAAAGTTTTGGGGTTTACTTTTTTAGTGTCTTTTGGGTATATATACGAGTCCGGCTCAATATAGGCCCAATTTGAATGTTGAAATTGGACTTAACTCTTTCCTAAAAGACTAGTCTAAGGGCCAAGAAAGATCCCAACCTTTAAACTGTTTTCGAGCCATCCATTTGTCCCTAAAAATATACAAGGGCAAACGTTGGGCCTTCGAACTTCATTGAACAAATGATATTTGGGTGCTTGACATGATGAATTGTATTATGTATTCTTTAATTAACCAAACATTTTTAATAATAAAAAAAAGACAAAACTTAAATCAAGCCTTTAAGTTTTGTGAAATTTTTTAAAATTATAATTTAATAAAACTTTTAATAAAACTTAAATTAATAAATTGGTAGAGTTTAATGTGAAAATAAATAAAATATAAAAAAATTAAAAAAAATTTTTATAATTGAAATTTGATTAATATTTATTTAATGATAAAAATACTGTTAAGATTTTTACTAACAATATCTATCTAAAAAATAAATCAAAATTTACTAAAAAATTTTCAAATCTTGTAAACTTGATATATATGTGTGTGTAATAAAATTTTTCAATCTATTGATTTTGATTTTTAATTTTATTTAATTATTTTTAATAAAAAATTTTCAAGAGCTTCTATTTCTCAATACTTCATAAGTCATACACCTTTAATGTCAATTTGAATTAATATCACGAGCCAAGAGTTTAAGCCTAGGTACCATGTTCCAAAACTACCGTCCATACGTCTAAGTAACCCTTTAACTCCAACTCTATACTATACACTTATGTTGGAACTCGACTACCCTTTTAGGAGTTTAAAAGAAAGCTAGGATAGTTAAGGCAAGAGTAATATATTCATTTAAAGGATATATACAATTGCTCTTGGAACGTAGTCCCTATGTGTTCTCTACTAAGGCTCTCAAGGCCTAGTCCCAATGCTTCATACTTTTGCTTCTTCTCTATGTTATCACTTGATTTTGTACAAATGAGGGATAGGCTCCCTTATTTATACTTGAGTTCTCTTGATACTTATTATTACAATGAATCTAAGTGTATGATCATTAAAGGTTTTTTAGACAGTTTTAAGATGCCAGGCTCTAACTAGGTCAGCTAAAACTTTTCTACAGATTTGCTGGTTTTAGGCTCCCTGTCGAGCCCTTGGATTTGAAAGAGTTTGGGCACTCCCACTGAGTGCCCATGCCTAGCGGGTTCTAGAGCCTTCTCTATCTTGGCTCCAGTTTGTTCGCAGCTAGAACATTCTAGAGACTTCCTCGTCTGGGTAAAATAGTGCTCGTCGCTATGTCCGTGCCTAGTCCTTCTGGAATCTTCGGTGCCCACGCACTTGGTCTGTCTCCAAGCTTTTCTAGATTCTTTCGCGTCTGTGCATTTGACTTGTTTTTAGGTGATTCTAGGCCCTTCTATACCTCGACCCTTGACATGTCTCCAGGCAATTCTAAATTTTTCTATACTTGACTGTCCGCATCACATCCTGAGATACTTTAAAACCTTCAACGAGTAGTCCTTATCCCTGATATCATATAGCTCACCATGAGTGTATTCCTACCCACCAACCTTGACCTTTACATTTAGATAAAGTACATGCTTTTAGGGTTTCAGTTTCTATCTTTCTTGATCCATTGGTCATATCATCTAGAACAGACCCCGTCACACGACCCTTTTGATCCTGCGTGGTTCGTGACATTACCACATGCACGCAACAATGTGGCTAGGCATTTTAACCTAAATGTTGAAATCAATCCAACTGCTTTTGTCGTATTCTATTCGTAACTACAAGTGCAAACTAGTAAATTACAAATTCCATGACGAGCGCTAGGAAACCAGTCTTTTGGCACATAACGTAAAAGAAACCAGGTCATCTAGATTTTTAAGCCAGAACTTGTCACTCTCAATTTTTGTATAGACTAAAAATGCTAAAA